CACTAAAAATTGCATTGTTTATATGCAAACATAAAAAAGGAAAAAGAAGCTTATAAGTTAATTATGTCATCATAAGTACAATGAACTACTTAATTATAATAACTACTTAATTATAATAAATTATTTAGTTTTACAAAAGAAATAAGAAACAATTCAAATAGTTTAACAGTTTTACTTTGACATAGAGAATATAATTTAGTCAGAAGCTAAATCAATGTCAATTTTAAACATGGTTCTAATTGAGTTAGGTTTTAAATTTAATTTATAAGTAATTTTGATTAGAACATTTCAAATTTCTTATTTGAAGGTTATCTAATTTTTGCTAAAATTTTGGACGAGCCTGACTTTGGATGAACCTGACATGACGTACTGATAAAGGCTAGTTATCAGCTTTTCCGGTTTTTCTTTTGATTCTTGATGGTTGTGGGTAAGATAAGAGTCAAATAAGAGTATGATAGTGTAAACTTTTTTGATCTTTGGCAGGTGGTTTGGTAGTCAGGTGGTCTTACTAAACATAGCATAAAAGGATTGGATCAGCATCATTTATAGTTTTAAAAGCTATAACAAATGAACGAATTCATAACAGACTTTGATCAAGGTCGAATTCCTTGCTGGCTAAAGTGCATGATAAGAATTGTACTCCATTTCAACTTTTGACAAATTTTGAGAAGTGCTGTGCTCACTACATTTCTGCTTAATCTTTAGGCTTTGCACATCACCATACGTATGCAAACCAGCTGGTACCTTTTGCATTTTTTAAAATTAAAATGTGTTCTTCAGTTTGTTGCCTATTTTTCATATATAGCAATTTTATTTTGTAAAGCAGTTGTATCCGTTTTGTTACTAAACTGATGGCATACTATTCCTTTTTTTTTTCAAATGTCACATTTGGTTTGTAAGTTGAAGATCATTGATGTATATTAAAAATAAAGTTGAATCAAGCACTTATCTTTGTGGTACACCGCATATCATATTTCCCCAAGATGATACACAATCACTTAGTACAACACTTGGCTTTCTATCAGTTAAAAAAAAGAATTTATTTACTTTAAACACGTAATGCAATTCCATATGCTTCAAGTTTTAGCAACAATATTTTGTGTAATAATCAATAAAAAGCATTTATAAAAATAGTATAAAGGATATTGAGCAATTTTCTACACAATTTCGGACCAGATTTTGATTTTATTAGCTACATATTTTACTATTGTAGTCCTTCCTGCCCCCTTACAACGCTTTTTTTTTTCTAAAAGACATTCTTCTTAATAAAATTCATAAGTATAGAGGACTTTTATTAGAAAATTACAATTGTACCCACCCACTTCAAAACCCGTGTCGTCGGCCCAGATTGTTTGCATTGTTTACTGTTATCAAGTCAAAAACGCTTGTTTCATGAAAAAGCTATTTAGCTCTTTAAAATTTAGGGTTTAAAATGCGTCGGTTTAGAAAACATTCATTAAGACAATTTACAAACTTTTCAGCCTATGTAACAACGCTACTTTTGAAAACCATCTAGTTGTGTTATAATTAAAATTACCTGTAATTATAAAACTTGAGAAAACTTTTTTTTCAATCATTTTGCTTGCGTTTTTTATAATATTTATAGTTTTATTATTTTAAAATTCTTTTGAATTTGGTGACCTGTAAATACACTTGAAAAAATAAAATTTTGTTATCTTCAAATTTTAGTCCAGCCTTGTTCGGTTTATAGATGGTACACAGTTTATAGATGGTAAAATTCATATTTTAAAGTATATTAGTAAAAAAAAAAATTTTCTATTTGACAATAGTTCAATTAATTTTTTTATTTCAAACATGATAAATAAATTTAAAATAAGTTGTATTTATTTTTTTTCCCATAACTTTTGGACAAAAACAGATGGTTTAGGCCAAAAACATGCAAAAATCTTGGCAAAGGTGTCTCAAAAAGTAAAATGTATTAAGTTATAATTTTTTTGCAATTTTATTCCTTTTATGTAGATAAGTGTCCTAAGATATAAAATTTTTTGATTTTTTAAATAAACTGCATTGCATTGATTTTTTACATAAATTGCAATTCCCAATTGTTTTTTTTTATTATAATTGGAATTTCCAATTCCCATTATAATAAACAAGGTTGCTTACTATTATAAATAAAAAAAATTATCACCATAAACAAATTTTTTATTGATGACTCAAAAAAAACTCAATTTTTCAAAGGTTTTTTTTAAGTCTTAAAAAAAAAACAATGTGGTTTTTGGAGTACACTTGGCGTGGTTTTTGTGGTACAATGAAATGTCCGGCAAAATGTTAGTTATAAATAATAAAATTATTCTAAAAACACTTTATAACAATCTATTGCAAAAGAGCAAGTCTTAGCTCCTAACCGTTCAGAGGTTATGATTTAAGTACGTCTTCTTCAGTTAGTTCCTAGCTGTTCTGAGCTTATGGTTAAAAGTACCTCAAACTGTTTATTAAGTTTACTTTAAATTACATATCAAAAATTGACATTTTGATTTAAAATTAGGGGACATTTATAAAGTGCGTAGGAGTAAAAGTGACTGTTGTACGCACCTGTATGTTTTTAACACCCTTTCCTTCTGCGTAAGTACGCACTATTTATTAGCAAATCAACCCCCTTTACATAACGCATAAATTTTCAAAGCATTATTAAATCTTGTGCGGCTGTGGCGCAGTGGTTAGAGCGCTTGCTTTGTAAGCATTAGATCCAGGTTCGAAACGAGCTTTAGACACGGTAAAGAAAGATGCGTGAGAAGGTAAAGACACGGACACGATAAAGAAGGAGGCATTACGGTAAGGAAGGATGCGTAAACTTCTTGGTTAAATGCATTTCCGCAGTGCTCTGTGACAAGACCGTAAGGACTTGTTGGGGCAATAACACAAAAAAAATCAGATTCATTAAAAACAAAAAAGCTTTTCGTTGATTAAAAATTACTCTGTTACATAACATGATATAGATTTTTAAACTTTTTAACTCGTTAAAACTGCTCTTTTTAGTAAAAAAAGAAATAAAATTTTAGGAAAGAGATTGAGAACGAGAAATAGGCAAACCGCGTACGTATTTGCCCCCCCCCCCGCCCTATATATCTGCGTGCCTACTTTATGGAAGACTCTTTACCAAAATTGCTTAAGTTTTTTTATAAGATTTTTTATTGTAATTTAATTAACGCAATTAAACCAAGTGTAAAATAAACTGGCTTTATAATTTGCCATTCGGCTTTTTATTGAAAATAAATGAGTAATTATTAACAGAAATTTTTTCCATATTGTAAAGTACGGAGTGATTAGAACGTTGTCAAAAAGCAAAAACATTGAAGTTATCTGCGCAGACAAAATTTTTGGTTTTCAATTTTTGAGCTTGGAAACAACAGAAAAAGGATGCGGTTTTTTTATAGTTGCATTTTGTCATGTTTTATAACGACGGCTTTATTAAAAATAAAACATGAGTTGAGTATAAAGAAAAAGAAATTTAAAAATGCCATTTCCATTTTTGCTTTTAAAGTATAAAAGAATGTATGTTGTATTGTCCCATTTTAAAGACTTAGCCATAAAATCAAGCAGATCTTATGGAATGCTGGCTAAACTTCTCCATTTTATCAATCTGGAAACACTATAAATGAACTAAAAACTAAAAAATCCAATGAACTAAAAAGTCTCCATCCAATTAATGTCTTTAAGAGTAACCTACTCAACTCCTTCATAATCAAATACAATTAATAAATCTAAAGATATGTATGTGTAAGTTTGTGATGGTATGTATATATCTGTGTATAAGTTTGTGATTAGTGTATGTGAGTAAGTGTGTGTATATATGTATCTACGTGTATGTGCGAATGTGCATATATGTGTATGTGTATATATGTGTGTCATATATACATATATATATATATATATATATATATATATATATATATATATATATATATATATATATATATATATATACATATATATATATATATATATATTTATATATATATATATATATATATATATATATATATATATATATATATATATATATATATATATATATATATATATATATATATATATATATATATATATATATATATATATATATATGTATGTGTACGTATATTTCTGTATATACGTATATTTCTGTGTATGTATGTGAATCTTTATATGTGTGTGTTATGTATGTATACAATACAGGGAGATGTAAGCATGTATTTGTGAATCTAAGTGTGTATGTGTGTTTGTATATATGTATTTGTATGTCCATATAAGTGTGCATGTATGTGACTTGATTGCATGATTACTATTATTTTTGTAATGATTATTGTAATTAACTTCATTTTTATCATTTTTATTATCATGGTATTGCTATTATTGTTACTACTCCTTTATTATTATTATTTTATTTTTATTTATTATTATTACTTTATTATTATTATTATTTTTACTACTACAACTTTTAATGCTCGATTTGTTTCGATTTTGTGGACGATTAATATTACTATTAGCATTAACGATATATTTATTAGCTTTTATTTGCAAGGTTTTTACTTAAGATTAGTACATGTTTTATTTATAAAATTCAATGTAACAGCTATTTCAGAAATATATTGATTGATATGTAAAAATAATTTGAATCTTTTGAAGTTTTACATCCAATTAGCGAAGAAAAAAAAATCATTCGCAATAAAATAAGATCAGGTTTTCCTGTTTCTAGCTTTTATTTCACGGAATTTCGGATTTAAATGACTGGGTCATTGAGTTATTGAATAAGTAATCAAAAAGAATTTCAATAATGTAGTTTTGCAAATTTATTTAGATATAAACTTTTTAACATACAAAAGTAAAAACTAAAATTAAAATACTTTTGTCATCTTATTTTAAACACGTGCTCGAAATTCAAATTTTAAAATTTACTTTAATTAATTTTTAAAATTGGAAAAATAAGTAGAAAATGAATTCAATATAAACACAAGTTTTGTTGATGCGCATGCGTATTTATTAAAAAAAACTAGATTTAA